TACAGTGCTTGGAAGGTACCTGAGGTACCTCCTTAATAAATTGTTATCCACCGTTAATCTTCAAAGGGTAATTTAGGAACAAAATTTTTTACACTGCACAAATCCATTCACCATGAAGGCAAAGGGTAATGGGTACTCGAGCAGGTCGATCATGCACATTGATGAGACAATCAAAATCGATCGAACATCTTGAATGATCGAACTAACAGCAAGGCAGTCAATCTCATCTCAGGTTCGGATCATCAAATTAATCAGAAGTTTCAGAAGCACAAGGGCCTCAGGCTGTCAGGCAGCCGAGATCACAGCTACAGGATACGAAAGAAAAACGACACCAACTGACCAACTAGTGATGAAGCGATCAAGCGAACAATCCAATCCTGCAGATAGATTGACCAGATCGATCACCGGAGATCTCAAATCAATTGACGCGGCCCTAATCAGAACACCTCCTCCCGCGCCATCCGCCATGGAGATCATGGAAACGAGGTCCACCGCTTTTGCCATTTACCGAAAAATAATTTAATAAAAATCAATTACTATTTTACCCTTCCACCTTTCGTACCTGGCCCACTCCTTTAATACCTTTTTTCTAGTACCTTCTCTCTCTGTCCGTTAGATCATTATTGATCAAGGGTTCTAATTAATTTAAAGTATTCAAGAAGATCTCTTCTTTTACACGTTCATATATTTGCATCTTCCTTACCATTTAGCTACCGAATATACAAGCAGCGCTCGCGATCGATCAGAATGCATGACACAGTGAGGGTACAGATCAGATCGATGTTCATGTAGGTCGTTGCCATTTCTTGGCCTCCTTTAATTCCTCCCTAGCTAATTCTATTCTTCCTTGCTAGCACGTCAATGTCCCGATCCTTATTTCGGCATGGGAGACATTGGGAGATATGCCACCCGTCGAATTCATGGATGAGAATTAATTAACAATCTAGACATGTAGACAGCTGAATATTTGGTATGGAATCAACGGGTTCATTGTTCACGTAGCAGCATCGGTATACTGAGGTTTGTGTTGCAAGCACAACTACTGCACACATATTGAGAGATATATAGTAATTAGAGATAATTAAGAAAAGGAGAACGAGTATCACATGTGTAACGAAGAGGAAAATATCAACTGCAGAGTAGCTTATGTTGCCTAGAGAGATTATTTTCTGTAGGATCGAAACACAAGAAGTAAGCCAACCAGAGAAGAGTGAATGGTTGGTATGCCCAAAAACCTAATCTTTTTGCGGAATAAAAAGTTACCCTCAAATTCGATGGATAGCGGTCTGACCGAAGTAGTTGCGCCGGTCTGACTGTCTGGAACACGTCAGTCTAACCGATATAGATCGATCGGTCAAACCGCCGAAATCTGCCGCTAGCTCCTGTCACCGCCGCCGGTCTGACTGCCGTGATACCGTCGGTCTGACCGTCGGTGTCCCGCCAGTTGGACCGCCGCACCCGAGAAAACACAAATCGAAGAACTCTCAAAGTAGATAACAACTTTATTTCTTCTCTCTATGTTTACAAAGTGCACCAACAGCACTCCTCTATCGTTTCCCGCGCGCATGTTTTTCAAACTACTAAATGGTACGTTTTTTGAAAGTTTCTATACGAAAGTTACTTAAAAAAATAAATTAGTCTATTTTTGAAAAAAAAAATAGCTAATACTTGATTAATCACGCGCTAATGGATCGCTCCATTTTCCGTGCACAACACCCAGCACTTACATACGAACACAGCCTTACACCTAATCCAGACTACATACCACTATATTGTATACATGCCAAAGGCTTGTGTTTACTCCTTTTTTAGGAATACGCAAGGAGCGCATTTTTTTCATTAAGAGAAATAAAAGTTATTTACAGTGATAAAAGGAAAACAAGCAGAGGACCGATACAGGACACTATGGAAAACTATAGGAATATCTCGCGCTAAATTTGGCTACCACGACCTCGTAAAGGCCAAACAGCGGGGATCTCGTGATTAGCCGACTTCCAAAGCATGGCCTCCTCTGCCATTGCTTTCGCCACTTCGGTCCAAGACCTTTATTGTTGATTGAAGATTCAGTTGTTCTGTTCCTTCCAAATTGTCCAAGCCACCAGTGTCACGACAGTGTCGAAACCTCGACGATGCCGCTCCCCAATCTTCATTCGGCTCTCACAGAGCCAATTGTTAAAGATGGCTCATTGACAGGTAAGCAGTTCGGACTCCTTATCGCCTGAAGCGTCCACCACCATAATTGTCTCGATTCAGGGCATGCTACTCATGTCTTCTCTGGCTCATCTTTTAACTGTTGCTCTTGCTCCCATCGTTTTAAACCTGAACCAGCTGATATCTACGTACGTACACAGCCAATTCACTTGCCTATTCCTCATCTTCTTCGATCGTCGTCCTGTTCGTTCTTTGGGTAGCTCGTTTCCAAAAAAAAAAAAAAAAAAAAAAAAACGCTCTTGGTCTCGATCGGCATGGGAGGTGTCAGGAGATAGAGATGCAGGATCATGTCGAACATCAGTAGTAGATAGAATAAACAGTGCTGTGATTTGTTGGATTTCTCTGGGAGTCTAATGGAACAAGGAAGTACGACTACCATTGCCTGAGCCTGAGACGAGAATGCACCAGGAGATGTTCCTGGCAGCAGCACACACAACAAAGTTCATAGCCATGATGTGTGCGTGCGTCTAAAAAGTTGCAAGCTATTTGTTTACACCACTCATTGATGCCTATTGCTTCGTCAGAAAATATCCCCTTCGGCCATCATATAATACATGTAGCATTTCACCACATGTATTATATGACTTCAATTCTCTAGCCACAATTGCACTACCTCACATTCATATGGCATATTTCCACTTTACTTCTTATCCCTCCTTCACTGGGAGGATGTATCATGCACAGGGTTCACTATATCGGTTCAGGGTTTTCTATCGGGGGTCACCGAAATTTCGGTCTGAAATTTTCAAAATTTTGAACAAAATTTAGTTGAATTTGAACAAATATTATCCAAATTCATGAAAAAAAATTGAAAAATTCAAAATTTTCGGCCGAATTAATATCGTATCGGGGGTCACCGAAATGACCGAAATTTCCGAAATTTTGGTCCGAAATTTCCAACCTTGATCATGCATGCCTTCCATCTTCTTCTTTCTGTTTCTCCTCCTCTTCTTCTTCTTCTTCTTCTTCTTGGGTCTAGCTCATTAGTGAAACCGACTGTTTCGACCGGCATGGGTGGTGTACTGGTGTTAGGAGATAAAAATACACAAATATATTAAAGCCTACGAGCAAGGTAGAATAAGCAATGCTTCGATCAATTTTCTTTCTCCGCGAAGCGATTCATGACGGAAGTATGAGTGCAATCGTCCGTGTGGCTAGCTACCGGAGATACAAATGCAGAAGACACTAGTGTACCTGAGACATTAATTTGTTTTTTTAATTTTTACAGACAAGAGGAGGAAACAAAGTTCACACAGCCATGGTTTGTTCGCTCTCTGAAAGACTAGTCTCATGTAATGATACTACTGAGACTACGGGAAACTATTAAGATTTGGAGGTTCCTGATGACTTCCCAATTGTCCAGCCACCTTTAATTTCGGATCATATCTAGACGTTGTTTGAAATTATCATGAATGTGTGAAGAAAATTTGTCTGAGTAAACTTTTCTTCCGTACTGTATAAACCTTTAACCTTCTATGGCGATTTTGGAAGTGCCACAGAGTTTAAAACCCACCTAAATCCATGTTAGTTCCCACAAGTTCACTCAGTTAAACAGAAGCTCAGATCGACATGCAGACTACTCACAGGTGGATGAATACTCCCTCTGGCTTAATAATACTTATCGTTTTTGTCGTTTCCCGCTGGCTTAATAATACTTGTCGTTTTTGTCGTTTTGAATGAGTCTATTATCAAACTTTAAAAACTTTGACTATAAATAACATAAAAATATTTGTCTTACAAAATACCTTGATAAAATCATATATTTATTTATATTTTTATATATATTGTTATAAAAAATAGTGGTCAAAATTGTTTTTTTAAGACCATGTCACTGTCCAAAACGTCAAGAGTACTAACTGATCTCCATACCTAATCCAGCTAGTGGAGTGCACTAAGAGTACTCCCTGTGGGTTTGGATGCCCAACATTTGACCTTCCGTCTTATTTGAAATCGTTTTTATGATTAGTATTTTTATTATTATTAGATAATAAAATATAAATAGTAATTTATGTATGACTTAATTTTAAAAAAAATCATAAATTTTTCAAATATGTATGACTTAATTTTTAAAAAAATCGTAATTTTTTAAAATAAAATGGACGGTTAAACGTTGGACACAGAAACTTATGGTACACTTAAAATGGGACAGAGGGAGCAATACACCTAGCCATATCGGCACATGCCAAATTAAATGCATCACTTATCTTTACTCCTCTATGCTCTGCCTCGTCTCTAATAAGCTCCCATCATTTTAAACCTGAAGAACCAAAAGCTATGCATTTTTACTTACCTCCTACCATCGATCACCGGAAGGACGCATCATGCATACCTTCCCGCCTTCTTCTTCCTCTTCCTCCGATTTTCTTCGGCATGGGAGTCGTCAGGAGATATAGATGCAGGATAACAACACAAATCGAGAGGAAAAAGAATAAACAATGATGTAGTCTATTTGCTTGGTCTTGGAGAGTACACGAACAACGAAGTACAGCTATCACAGATGGCCTACCGGAGGCACAATTGCACTAGTTCGTTTGTGCAAGGAAGACAAAAGAGAACTGTAGCCATGGTTCGTTAGCTTTCTCCTGTCGTCGTGGTGATTTGGAGCTTTAACTCCTAAGAGCATCTCCAACAGTCTCTCCAAGTGACTCTCTAAGTTGAATTTTAGCCATTTCAACCAAAAAAGTTCATCCAACAGCCTCTCCAACCAGATGGCTAAGCCATTTGGCTGGCCAAAACCCTCCCCCCACTAGCCAAATTTGGCCAGCCAAAAGTCACTAGCCAACCGTGGGACCCACCCACTTTCCTCCTCCACTCCTCGTCCGCACCAATCTTGCCTCGTCAGTCGTCGGTTTGTCTCTCGTGTTGGCTAGGCCGTCGCCGGCCGCGACCGCCGCCCTCCGCGCCGTCGCCGCCCTCGACCGCGGCCCCCCGCGCGGTCCCCGGCTGCCGCGACCGCTGCCCTCGACCGCGGCCCTCCGCGCGGTCCCCGGCCGCCGTGACCGCCGCCTTCCGCACCGTCGCCGGCCTCGACCGCAGCCCTCTGCGCAGTCCCTGGCCACGACCGCGGCCCTCCGCGGCCCAGGTCATCGTCGTCGCGAGCCTCCGTGACCGCCGCCCTCCGTGACTGCCGCCGTCCTCCGCGCCCCATGTCTCATCATCACGAGCCTCCAGCCCTCCACCGCCGCTGCTGCCGGGATAGGATTTGGCATGGGAGAAGAAAGGAGGAGGAGGAGGAAGAGAGACTTACTTGTGGGACCCAATGTTAAATTGGAGAATGTGAATGGAGAGACTGTTGGACTAAAAGGTAAATTTGGCTCTCAAATTTTTTAGATGACTGGCCAAATGCTCATTTAGAGAGCTCAAAATAGCCAATCTGTTGGAGATGCTCTTACACCTGATCCAGACTAGCAACCTCATCTTTTCAATTATACTTATACTTATCAGCCAAAATTTATATTTTCAATTTTAAATTCAGAGTTGATTTTGGGTTTTTTCTCAACGTCGTTTATTTTTCAGCTTTTGCTTTTAAATCGTAAAGAACATGTATATAAAAGTTTTATTCACAAATTATGTTTCATTTGTAAGGTCCCCATCAAGCCAAAACGGCTTATTAGGAAATAAAAATAAATTTGTACATAAAACTTTTATAAATGTGTTCTTGGTGACTTAAAAACCAATATTGAAAAAGAAATTACTACGTTGAAAATATCTCAAAATTAAGCTTGAAAATTCAAATTTTGGTTTTTTCTTTGGCTGATTAGGCCAACCGATGAGAGCCTAAATATATAGTTTCATTTTTTTTCTCCAATATACTAAACGATGGGGCTGTATATACCGCTAATATTGCATACATGCCAAAGGCCTGTGTTTACTCCTCCCTTCTCTGGCTCATCTTTTAACTGTCGCTCCCATCGTTTTAAACCTGAACCAGCTGATACCTACGAACATACGCAGCCAATTCACTTGCCTCTTCCTCATCTTCTTCGATCGTCATCCTGTTCGTTCTTTGGGTAGAGCTGGTCAGCAAAAAAACCTTTTGGTCTCGATCGGCATGAGAGGTGTCAGGACTCAGGAGATACAGATGCAGAAGAATGTCGAAGCTTAGTAGTACATAGAATAAACAGGGCTACTGGAAAATGGAAGTACGACTACCACTGCCCGAGCATGAGACACGAATGCACCTGGAAATGTTGCTGTAGCAGCAGCACACACAACAAAGTTCCATAGCCATGATGTGTGCGTCTATTGTTTACACCACTCATGGATGTCTATCGCCTCGTCAGAAAATATCCCTTCGGCCATCTTAGCCCTTGTTTAGTTCCCAACTTTTTCTTCAAACTTTCAACTATTCCATCACATTAAAACTTTCCTACACACATAAACTTCCAGCTTTTTTCTTCAAACTTTTAATTTTGGCATGAAACTAAACACACCCTTATTCTTACGAACTACTACTATGTAGGATTCCACCACATGTATTCTCTAGCTACAATTGCAGGAGAAAATTTTTGAAGCAAGCAACATCGGTGCAACAACTTCCTGTTTTGGACAGAGTTCGGCTAAATTTCTTGTAGGAATGATCACATGTAATTTCCAGAAGTTCAGTCAAATAGCCTACGTCTGAACCTGCCCGGTCAGGAAACACCCCAGATGAACACAGCACTGAATTAAGTTACAGCACATCAACCATTCAACAATAATCATCAGGTTAGCTAAATTGTGAAGCAACAGCTACATCTCAGTGACATGGGGCAGAAGCAGCCCAACTAGAACTCAAATAGTTTATGAAAAAAGGGGGAAAAAATACTACACACAACACAGCCTACAGCAGCTGAGCATTCTTGATTTATACACAGACATGGCATGGATGCATTGTACATTGTACAATAAAACCGCGACATGGACCAAAGAGAAGCTCCTGCCTTAAATTGTTGCGAGAAATTAGTTCATGAACCGGCTGCTACGACAACTTGAAGGACTTGCAGGGGCTAGTTTGATGATAGGAAATGCACTCGGGCGAGAGGATATTCCTTTCCAGCAACCCAAACACCAGTCTGCGACCACTGCACATCCTCCCATTCCAAATTATCCTGCAGCACCTGCGTTGCGTCGAGGTAACAAGAAAACCGTGTGAGAATTGTGGTTTCTGTATGCGAATTATCCACCATTTTAATGTTAGAAAGCAGGACGTTACCTCAAGTTGATCAGCTGGCAGCGGGATACCGATGGAGCGCATAGAGCTCTCAGGCATCGCCTTCTTACAGCGGGACCATCGGAACAAATCCCGCAGTTCATGTTCTGAAGAGGCCCTGTCCCCATTTTGCGAGTGATGGTGGCTACTATTCTGGTGTTTCTCAGTTTCTGCGTCTGCCGCATTGGAGCTTGATCCAACAAGACGAGCCTTTTCTCCACTGAAGCACAGCTCATACCTGTGAAAACTTGCAGTAACAGGAGGGGGGGAAATGAAGGAACTGTGCTCCACAGAAGTCAAAAATATAACTTCAGGTGATGGCCAAATAGTTAACGGTAACAGCTCATACCTATTATAATGTGTTTCCAAGTATATGACTTCGCCTTTTTTCAGCCTCGCAGAAGTATATAATGACTTTTTCAATCCCTTGTCTGCCACAATGCTTATGCTGTATTTCAACCTGAAGTAAAGTAATCAGGTACAAGGTTAGTAGGAGCAACCTTAGCTCAACAAAGACCTAGACAAAGGCTTCTAAAAGCTGAGGAGTTGAGCGCTGAAACAAACAAGCACTCATATGCAACAGAAAAGGCTGCAGTACGTGCTGGATGGAACTTTCATGAGCAAATGAGTAGCATCAGAAGGTAGGTCAAGAAAGTACCATGGCTCGTTGCAGAGATTGTACTGTATTGTGACTTCCCGAACAAATCTTTGTTGACGTAACGCATTCTGCATAGATTATATTGAAAAAAACCTTAGTACAGAATATAGACAAAGATTGCTCATGATAACAAAAACTAAATGTTGCAAAGTGAAGTAAAATGTCTTTGAAATGAAAACATTGATAACAGAAAGAGGAGGTAGAAAATTACAGAAGCTGCTGCTCTTGTTGTCATTGTGCGCTCAACCGCAACCGGAGCAAGTGTAGGCTCCACAGCTGATGTATGGCTTAGGCGAGGCTCAAGATCAATAGTACCACCACCTTTCTGCAAAGCATGTAATACAAACTAAGCAAACAATCTATGGAGCAGTGGTCAATAAAAGGTTTTTACATCAGCAGATTAAAACAAAAGAAAGCACTGAAATTTTGCTCAAAGCAAAAGGAGAACACAGTAGCCTTATATGTTATCTTATACAGTCTTAATACCTTAACAATGCAGCAGCGTTCTATGCGAAAGCTACAACCAATACCAGCACCCCAAGCACGTGAGCGGACATTGTTCCTTAAAGTTGAAGTATAGCCTGGAAGGTAGATCAAGTGTTATACAAGTACTACTAATTTAGCCATATTGCTCTGACCTTTTTAAGTCTAATAATTGGACTGACAAAGAATGAAGGCTTACTGTCTTGTGGCGGTAGAACTCGAACAGTTGCTCGTAGCTCTTGGATTGCAGATGGTGGAGGTGATGATGTAGGGGAGCAGTAACCAGTATGCATAAGCACTAAAAGAAAGACCGTTTAGAAATCAGCTTTCAGAGGTTCGTTTCACGCTTGGAAAATAATCAAGAACTTACCAGCGACAAGATCTGAATCATTTGTATAAATATCCGTTCCCCAAAGTTGAGCACCTTTTACCTACACAACAGTGATTTTAAGAAACAAACAAAATCAAAGGAAGTAATTAGCTTCATTAATTTATGAAGCAATTTGTCAACTACATGAGCAGCAAATATGTAGCAATTGGCATATATGGTTTCAAGAGGAAAGATAAATAGAATATACATCTCTGGTTCAAAGAGATCACAATAGAATAATCTCCTGTAAATATATAAATCTACAGATGCACACTTGCAAGTGAATTACACAATCATTCAGTATTAGGTGTGTTAATATATTAACATTCTGGAATGCAAACTTGGAGATTGATGAAGGGATTAACATATGCCACCTGTAAAAGTCAACACTTACTTGACGGTTAGTGGACGTAACAAACTCTGCGGGTATGCGGATCTCAAGAGTGGGGCCATTTTGCACACTTTCAGCACTTTTAGCTTCTGGGGTTGCTTCAAACTCTTTCCATGATTTCAGAAGCTCTTGCATGCACTCACCAGCTTTATAGACAATGGCTGATGCCTCAGATTTACCTGCAATGGAATGAAACTAAGATAGCAAAATACAAAAACAGCAACTTCCTTACCAGCCTACCTTAGATAAATTATCATTATGCTCAATTTGAAAGTTGCAACGGAATCCTCATAAATATACACCCCGATTACCCTATTTATCCTCTCTGGCTGGATTTTGTCCACAAAATAGACACACACACTAGCACATGCAGTGTAACAAAAAATATCATCCTAAAAGTGAGAAATGTAAAGGGGTTTCAAAATTTTAAATGGATTGGTTATAGCATTAAAATATTCTGAGAAGAAAATGCAAACTTATAAGTCTGCTGGAAAGCTTTCCGTGACAGTTTTGAAGGACATGTCACTATCCCTATTCCATTTTATTCTTCTGTAGTACAAGATATTTGACTGACCTTGAGATCTGCAAGAAAACAAATACAGAAACATATCAAATAAATAATGTTTTTACCTGTTAAATCAAGGTCAGGAAGCACCCATTATGCATTTGAATCAATGATGAAAAAACATAGCAAGATGTATTGTTAAACTTACCCTTCACCATCACGCATCCTAGACCTAAATCGAGGTTCTCGTTGGGATGCTTGACTACCACCCCTTGATCGCGCCATTCTCTTGCGTTGGACACTTCCAAGGGCTTCCTTATCCTTCTCTATATCTCCTTCAGGGCAAGTATCATCTGATTCCTTGTCATTATATTTACTCCTTTGGTCGTGCCTTTCTCCTGCATCCATATCCTTCTCTCTTTTCTTGTCCTTGGGATCCCTATCATGTGATTTCCATGCATCATCTTTAAGTGTCTTCTGCTCTACTGTTTTATTCTCATGCTCGGCACTTTTAACAGCTCCATCAGATGCAGTTTTTTCCAGTATTGCATTCTCCTTTTCAGTTGCTACTGATGACTCCTTTGCAGAATCCTTCTCTCTATCATTGCCTTCCTTGTCCTTCTGGGAATCTTTTCTTTCCCTATCCCACTTTTCAGCATCCCTATCTTCCCTCTGATTCTCTCTTCGTTCAACACTATTGCCTCCAAGCTGAATACCAATTCGGCGATCATTTCTATCATTGTCTCTTGTGCCGAAGTCCCTATGCTTTTCATCCTTCTTTTTCCTGTCCTTATCTCTAAACTTATCTTCAGTTTTAGGTTCAGTTTTATTCTCACCAGTAGATTCATGAGCATCCTTGGACCGCTCATCTGCAGGAACTGGACCTTTGGAAGATTCATCTGTTCCTTGCAAACCAGGGCGGGGAAAACGCCAATCTGCATTATCAGATGGCTGCTCAATATTCCTTTTACCCCTATGTTCTTTGTTATCTTTCCAGGCTATGTTTGAAATTGCTGTAGGATGACCATCTTTGTCCAGTTTGGCATCACCTTTGTAGTCAGCATGTATCCGTCTGTCGGCTCTTATGTCATTGTCATCTGCTCTATTGTCCGTCTTTACATCAGTCTCAACTTTATTGCTCGGAAATTCAACCCTGGGATCACTGTAGACATCTCGAGTGTCAGCCTTTGCCTCCCGAACATCTACCTTAGTGTCCCATGGATCTTTATTTTGCTTTGATTCTAATCTGCCATCAGATGAGATTGAGTGGTCCACAAAGTTGGAGGGGCCAATAGGCATCCTATGTGCCAGAGAGGGCCTCTTATCATCCCGGGGCTCAATACGTTGAACTTTGGCAAATCTCCCATCATGTTCAAACGAACCATGGAAATCACTGCTGCCTGGTTGAATAATTTTCCCAGAAGGGCTTGAGTACAAGCTGCTGTCATCCAACGGCCGTTTTGCCGGTGTGGAGTGACTACCCTCCTCATGCGACCTCTTGGGTGCACCACTCATTTTCCCTCAAAAATGTCAACAGTCCTTCAATATGAACCAAGAAACACAAATACAAAAGGATATAGCCCAATGCCTTTGACACAATGCACTGCCAAAAAAAAATGAAAATTTAGGTCAGAACACATCAGTTACTTTCTTTTTTCCACATAACCAGATTGTGTAATTTAGAGTAAGACATGATGTATAAGGTATTTCACCAACAACAAGAACATTTAAGGGTGCTTATGGGCACATCTAAAATAACCCCCTACAACCTCATGTGCAGTAATAAAAAATCTGGAACAATTTAGTAGTAAAGAGCATGTTGGCATCTAACAATCCACAAAACGTCAATCTAAATTCAATCCAAACAACAAGAAACAAAAAGGAAGGTGTTCTGCTAAAAAGAATCTCCTTTGTTTCTTGACATCTTGATGCAGTTTGGATATGAAAATTTGTGGCGTAGAAGATGCCAACATGCCCTATCTTACTGTTCTTTTTCACATAATCTATCATCACTATTTGCATGGTTTTTAAGGGCTGGAAGCACCCTTGGGGAGTAACCGATACACCGCATTCCATATTGACCTCAGTACTCTGTTCCTAGTTCACCAAACAAGATTCAGCTGTATATTGCACCAAGCTCCCTGTTATCGACTAAGCTACTGTTATACTGTAGTCCATCAGAATGAGGGAAAATCTTCAAGTTTGTAAATGTTCAATTCTACAGGAAGATAAGTCATGAAAAAATGATTTGAATGTATTCTCAAACAAATTACGTGCAGCCCCCTCGTCAATTTCCATGCCAGCCCAGCACCCTCCTCTCTCAGCTACATCATGTCTTGCCATTTTTGCGGTGTCCAGCCGGACTGGTACAACAGGAACAGGGTGGAATCGGCACCCAACAGAATTAAAGATCATTTCTTTACCCCCAATTTCATTTTTTTTATCAAGAGAATGGCGTAGCTTTCACTAGTTCAAACGAAGGAGTGGCGGATCTAACATGGGACATGGGGGTTCACTTCAGTTGAACCCCCAAACCCAAACCTCTTTTTTTTAAAAAAAAAAAAAGAAAAACCAAACCTTTTTGGGAACCATCAAACTGTTATTAGTGTTAAGGGTTAGGGAAAATTTCTAGAACAGAAGCGGTTTGACGCAAATTCGAGAAAAAAAAGTGCGTGGGTAAAGAGAGAGATGGGAAAGAGGATGTGGTTCCTCACCAGGATGGATGGATGGATGGATGCGGCGAGGAAGCAGCCGTACGAACGACGGCGACCCTGCTCGGTCGGTCGGTCGCTGGGTGGATGGATGGATGGGGATCGGCGCAGGCGGCGGTGGCGGAGGATGAGGATGGGATGCGACGGCGGAAGCAGCAGGGACGAACGACGGCGCTGACGCCCAGCTCGGTCGCGGGATGGAATGAATTGGGGGATCAAATCAAGGGCAAAAACTGCACGAGGAGACGCACCACAGAGGCGTCAAAATGGCGAGGGTAACCTAGTAACTTCGCCTACCACTCAAAATGGGCCACACGGCACGGCCCGGCCCATGCACGATTAGGCACGGCTCATTTAGGCCGGGCCGTGCCGTGCCGACATGTAAGGCCTCGCCCCAAGCGTACTACTACAAATTTCAGTTATAGGAATAAGTTCATCTAAGGTCCCTTAACTTGTCAGCGAATTCAATTTTCGTCCTTCAACCCCAAAACCATATACAACAGATCCCTCAACTATCAAAACCGGTGCAGATAAGTTCCCTTGCCGGTTTAGATGGCGGTTTTAGCTGACGTGGCGACTACATGGCTATTTTGACTCGGTCTTCATATGACGTGGCACTAACATGGCGCTTACGTGGCAATTCGATCTAGAAAAATAATAAAATCTGTGGGACCCACACATCAGTTTCACACATATAAATAATAATAAAAAGGTGAGACCCACGTGGGCCCCACATGTCAACCTCACCCCCTCCTCTTCTTCCTCCTCTCTCTCCCCCATCTCCCGTCGTCTTCATCTCTCGCCCCCATCTCTCTCTATCGCCGGCGGAGATAAGGCGCGGCCTCCTCCATGGGCGGCGGCGGGCGAGCTCCCGCTTCCCCACCTGCTTCCCCGCCGCCGCCGCCGTGGGAGGGGAAAGTGATTGGCGGATATTCTTGTTTTCTTTTTTTGTTTAATCTTTGATTGTGCGTGTATGGAGTTCTGGATTAGGAGAAAAAAAAGGTACTTAACTGTCGGTGGATTAGGAGAACATATTAGATATAGCGTTGGTGGATCCAATTTTAATTTGCAAAATTTTGTCAGTACTTAGCTGTCGGCGGCAGTAGATCTGCAGAAATGGAGTCTTTTTTCTGATTGCTTGGTTGCAACCGATGCAGTGGGCAGATAGAAATGGCGGCGGAGACGTTCCTCTTCACCTCCGAGTCCGTGAACGAGGGTCACCCCGACAAGCTGTGCGACCAAGTGTCCGACGCCGTCCTCGACGCGTGCCTTGCCCAGGACCCCGAGGGCAAGGTGGCGTGCGAGACCTGCACCAAGACAAACATGGTCATGGTGTTCGGCGAGATCACCACCAAGGCCACCGTCGACTACGAGAAGATCGTCCGCGACACCTGCCACAACATCGGCTTCGTCTCCGACGACATCGGCCTCGACGCCGACCGCTGCAAGGTGCTCGTCAACATCGAGCAGCAGTCGCCCGACATTGCCCAGGGCGTGCACGGCCACTTCACCAAGCGCCCCGAGGAGATCGGCGCCGGCGACCAGGGCCACATGTTTGGCTACACCACCAACGAGACCCCCGAGCTGATGCCCCTCAGCCACGTCCTCGCCACCAAGCTCGGCGCCCGCCTCACCGAGGTCCGCAAGAACGGCACCTGCGCCTAGCTCAGGCCCGACGGCAAGACCCAAGTCACAGTCGAGTGCCTCAACGACGCCGGCGCCATTGTCCCCGTCCGTGTCCACATCGTAGGGAAGAAGTGAGAGAGGATAGTGGGAAGAAGGGAGCAGCGACGATGGCATGTGGGGCCCACATGGGTCCCACTTTTTTTATTATTTCTGTGTGTGAAACTGACATGTGGTTCCCACGGATTTTATTATTTTTCAAGGACGAAAATCAGATTCGCTGACAAGTTAAGGGACCTTGGATGAACTTATTCCTCAGTTATATTTTCTATGAATAAGTTCACTTTAGGTCCCTTAACTTGTCAACGAATCCGATTTTCGTCCCTCCACTAGAAAACCAGACACAGCGACTCCCTCAACTATCAAAACCAGTATAGATCCTCAACTATCAAAACCAGTATAGATTAGGTCCCTCGGCGGTTTTGAGGGCGGTTTTGGCTGATGTGGCGCTTACGTGGCTAATTTGATTAGGTCTGTCCCACGTGGCATTGATGTGGCGCTTACGTGGCAATTATATATAGGAAAAATAATAAAAACCGTGGGCCCACATGTCAGCTACATAAAAATAATAATAAAAAAGTGGGGCCCACATGTCAGCTACACAACAAATAAATATGGTGGGGCCCACATAGGCCCCACGTCAGTCAGTAGCAATTTATTTCTCCTCTCTCACCCTTCTTCTCCCCTATCTTCGCGTGGGTGGTAGAGCAGCGGGGTCGAGTGGGGGGTGGCGGCGGGCGAACGACGGTGTGAAGCCGACGGGGCAGAGTGGGCAGCGGCGGTGGACGCGAGGGCGAAGTGGTTGCACCCGAAGCCGATGGGGCGGCGGAGCCAAGCGGAGGGCGCCAGCCTCGTCGTCGGCGGGGAGTGGCGCCGAGTTCCTGCCCATGTGCGGCTCCAACTCGGCCGAGGCCCCCGCGCCGCAGGAGCAGAGGCGGAGCTCGAGCTTACCATCCCGTCGACAGGCAGGTGGGAGGCGGTTGCCGAGGAGGGGGTCGCGGTAGGTGGCGGCCGATGAGGAAGACGGAGGTGAGGAAGAGGGGAGGGGAGCCGGCGAGCTCGAGCTCACCATCCCGCCAGCCATCTTCCACTCCCGATGTTGCCTGCTCGCTCCCCACCATCGGCTCACGGTGGCGTCTTCCCCAGGAGCGAGGTCCGCCGAACAGAGGGCACCAGGCAGCAGGCCTCCAGGCTCCCAATGGCGACGGGCGGCCAGCCTCCAGATCTTGGCACCAAGCGGCAGCGGCGGCGGCGGCATCTTCCAGGTCGGCGCGCTTTGTCCTTTTTCCCCGCCGGCCATTGCTCGTCGTGTCGCCCTTCCGGCCGCCGTGACATGGATCCCAACATTGGGGAGAAGGAGGAGGAGACGGGGTGGCCGCCGCCGTGCCGCCGCATTTGGGGTGGTGGTGGTAGGCGCGGCGGCGGGCGTGGGGTGGTGTGCGCTGCGGCGGGGGCGATGGTGGCGAGGAAGCCGTAGATGTTGGAGGTGCCGAGGGAGACGGCGCGGCCGCCGTTGAGGTCAATGGTGTCGAGGAAGCCGAGGGAGAGGGATGAAGGGAGGAGTGAGGCTGACATGTGGGGCCCGCGTGGGCCCTACCATTTTTAAATTATTTTCTGTGTGAACTGACTTGTGGGCCCCACGGGTTTTATTATTTTTTCGAATCGAATTGCCACATCAGCGCCACGTGAGTGCCATGTCAGTTGAAGACGAGTCAAATTAGCCATATAAGTGCCACATCAGCCAAAACCGCCGAGGGATCTAATTTGTACCGGTTTTGATAGTTGAGGGACGAAAATCGGATTCGTTGACAAGTTAAGGGACCTCAGATGTACTTATTCCTTTTTTTTTCCCATCAGAGCTATTAGTCGCCCCGCGGCCCATCCCAGCCCATTACACCCCAAACCACACCCCTCCTCCCTTCGCCCTCGCCTCTCAAACCTCGCCGCGACGCCGCCGCCCCCACCCCCGTCGGCTCGGCCTCGCCGCCGGTGGGGCTGTGCGCTCCTCTGCTCCGGCGGCGCAGCAGGGGCGGTGCAGGCGCGCGGCGGCACGGCCGCACGGCAGCGGTAGTCCTGCTCTTGGCTTCCCGCTTTCGGCGCATTCGCTTGTGGTTAGCACTTAGTATAGTCTGTATAGAGGCTTGCTGCTTTGCTCTTAGTATTTGCTTTGCTGATTTTATCTGAAGTTCTATTTTACCGATTCGACTGAATGATTAGCCTAGTTAGCCATCAGGAATCGAGGATTCATTTAACCGCTTATTGTTATTCAACTTTAACACTTGCTTATCTAGTTAGCTAAGGGGATTCAACTAGCATATGGTTAAGTGTGGCTAAGTGTATATCAGTAATTCACTATATTTTTTATATGAGACACAATCGTTTGGAATTCAGAGAATTTAATGTTCATTTTGTGTATTAGTATGTTATTATGACCAATTTTATCAATATACTATACGAACCTATGCTCAATGTTACGGTGCATATACTATATACTATATAATTACTAGTACGTGATATTATACAAGCTAATTATTAGGATTTTGGGTGTAGACGTGTAGAAAAAAAACCCATGTTATTTTGAATACACAGCTTCTAAATCCTAGGTCCGCCACTTTAGCGCAGAGATGTTCGTGCTCAGCCAGATCGAACACAACCTGCCGATGCCGCCGCACCTGCTGAGCCGGCCACTCGTCGACGCCATCAAGGCTGAGCTTGAGAGGCTCTTCCTCGACAAGGTAATCAACTACCACGAGCTCAGTCACCCCTGTTGTTGATGCTTGTCTCGCTCACGGACGGTTGTGTACAAGAGATTATGATGATGTGTTGCATGCTTCTGCCCCCCCCCCCCCACCTGTGCTGTATGTAGGTCGTCGCGAACCTCGGGCTCTGCGTCTCCGTCTACGACATCCGCTCCGTCGAAGGAGGCTTCATCTTTCCAGGAGAGGGCTGCTCCACTTACAAAGTAATTTGTGCTCCCATTGCTTTTACCCTTTTGTTTTGGTGATGGAATTGCGATATATGTATGATACATGTCTGCTTGGTGGTGTACTTGTCTCATAAGATTCTGTAGGAGGTGAATGCCTGAAAAATATTTCAGCACAATTGGAGACTTATTTAAGCTCTAAGTTGATTAATTCTGTTACTCATGTTGGTAGTGTATTTCGAGCCTATGTACTAGTTGCGATCGACTTGATGACAACATAGCATGTTCTCAATGACCCATTGTGATTAGAGTTGTGTCTATTAACATCAGTGCTCTTTCTTACAGTATTTCTGTTAGTGTGGTGTGTGCAACACGTCGTCTCAGTGAACTTATGCATTTAGTTCTGAGGATTCCTACAATTTGCAAATCACTCTTAGATTTCCTTATTTTCCCCATCCTGTATAGGTTTCCTTTAGGTTGCTGATGTTCAGGCCCTTCGTTGGGGAGGTTCTTGTCGGGAAGATCAGTGGATATGATGAAAAGGGTCTGCATGGTGAGTTGCTTATTTTCTTATTGACATTTAAAGAGCTGGTTTGCTGGCAATCTCTTATCTAGTTATCTTGCCTGTTGGAATATTCCATTCCTTTTGTAGCAGTTGTCTATAACATCGGATAACATTTTGTACTGTATGGAATTTTTATGTTCATATTTCCATGTCATAGTATGTCTTATGTCTTCTAAGAATAAGCTACGAAATTTGTATATGATGTTTAACTCTGTATCTGTTGCACTATTTTATCCTGAGGTCATGCTGTTCGAAACAATGGACTAGTTTACTTTCTCATATATCCTTTTGTTTGAATGAAATAGATGTTGATTAATATCATAGTATGCTTCTTTGCCACTGTAGACCTGATTACTAACCTGGAATCAGCATCCTCAATTGCATAAGAGTGATTACATTTCTTGGGGTACACAAACCATTGCTAGCTAAATATCTGGAGGGTAGTTCTGAACTATAGTTATCTGTTTTCAACATAGTATCCTGTTAAACTGAATATGTAAATTTTATCTTTGACAAGCGTGTACTCTTAACTAATTCCTGTTCTTTACTGTTGGACTATTTGTGCCTCACATGTGTATAAAAGTTACAAATGGCCCCTTCCTCTTCTGGTACTAGTTAGTAGGAAAAGCCTCATTCACAAACAATTGGTTGAGCTGATATGGCTACATCTGTTTGGCAGTTTCACTTGATTTCTTCAGTGATATAAGCATTCCCGGGCACTTGATGCAGTATGGCACGGCTAGGTAATGTTTTGTTTTGTTGTTCCTGTACAGCAGTAACTACTATAATTTGAAAACTTGAGGTTCTTACTCTTCTCTGGAGTTATATCATACATTTTGATTTTGATTCCTCTTAGATTAACTTGTTATGTTTGCATCTGCTTGGCATGTACTTCAACCAGATTGGTTATTATGAAAAAAAAATACTATTGAAATTTAGTTCAGTCAGGAACTAAAACAGAATCAGAAATACAGAATCTTTGCAATGGCTTAAATACGTTCTGGATTACTTTATCTGTGTTTAAAAACAAACTCTACAACTGCTGAGGACAGTGGATGTCACCTGAGACTGCTGAGTACACACTGCTACCTTGTTCTGTTTGTCATGAGGAAAGTACTTTCTACATAAATTTATGTTGCTTTATTTTCTTTGCTGCTCATTTCCCCCAGGGCGCTAGATGGTAGGTGGATGCTGAAGACTGAAGATGGTGATGAGCTCTATCTTGATTTAGATGATGAGGTATACAAAATCTGTTTTTTTTCTAAAAAAAAATCAAAGCAATTACCATTCTCTGTATGCTCATGATCAACTTGATTGCTACGCAGATACGATTCTTGGTATCTAGCATAAAATACCCGCCTATCCCAGTCGAGCAAAAGGAGACTGACAGGGCATTTGCTCCAATGCAAATTATTGTATGCCTTGAGAATTATGCTCAATTATTTGAATTCTGGCTTAGTGTCCTTTGATGAGTAACTAGGCTGACTAATGCTTTCGCAGGGAAGCATTAAAGGAGACGGTCTTGGTCTTCTTGCTTGGTGGGCTGCAGATGAAGAGGAAGGAGAGGCCGAGGCCGAGGCAGAGGAATAGTCCCAAGCTACTCCTTTCTCTAGTTTGCTGTTTTTGTGCAGTAAGAGATTTATAGGATTTTTTAGCTAGAATGTCAGTAATTTATATTCTGTGGTATCTGCAACTTGGTCATCTTCTGTTAGGAGCCTGTTCCGTTGCTGTGACATAACTGATGCTGACAGCCGCTAATTTATAACAGTACCAATGAACAGAAGATCATTTTTTTTACGTTAGGGCATGCACTAATTGAGCAGTTTCTGAACTGAACCCTTTTGTGTCAACTATGTAAATCTAGTGATCTGGATTGCTTCCTTGTGATGACATCCCAGGACCAGCAGTCAGCAGAGCAAACCAAGGAAGGCAATTTTGTCCAGTTTTTGACCGACATTACCACCTGCAAGTAGTGCATAAGATCTGGAAGTGAAAGCAACTTGCTGTGAGATGATGTGAACTTGTGGAGGACAAGCTGCCATTGCTGTTGATCTTTTCTTTACGGCGTAGGCAGCTTCCCTACGCTACCCTCTGTTTCTTTCCGTCTGAAAATGGAAGCCTGTAAATATCTTCAGATTCAGTTTGGGCATTTGACAAATGTTTGGCAAACCTGTGAGCAGTTCTTGTTTGGTCATCTTGTGGCTTCCATTGCTCTTGGTGAGCAGATCATTGTTATCTTCTTTTTGAGACATGGGGTAATTAATTAAGAAAGAAGGTAATCAGAAGATAAATTAACTGGGCAATCATATAGATAGAAAGATGGATGGATACAGATACAATCATAGGCAAAATCAAGTCTCGAACTTGCAATTGACGTTCCAAAATTCTAGTATTATTACACGGGACCAAATCAACGAGATAGTGTGATCAAATCGTCCCCATTAAGTGTAAAAACATCGATCAGTAGTGATGATCAACTTTCTATATGAAAGTTGCTCTAAAATATCATATTAATCTATTTTTTAAGTTTGTAACAATCAAAACTCAATCAATCATATGTTAATACCACCTTGTTTTGCGTAAAAAAACTTAATCTTCATCTTCAGAGATAAGAACACCACCTATGATAGATGGATGGATACAGATACAATCATAGGCAAAATCAAGTCTCGAACTTGCAATTGACGTTCCAAAATTCTAGTATTACACGGGACCAAATCAACGAGATAGGTTTGATCAAATCGTCCCCAGTATAAAACAAGCTTGATCTTCTCAAGCTAGTGTGGTGGTGTAAAATTACAATCATGATCAAGAGAGTAGTACAGTAATTAATTTAATTACGGTTGCTGCATGCAGCTGAGCTGCGTAGTGATGAATCTGTATATGTCTAGGTGACCTTGACGCCGTTGTATCTGAGGATCTCGCCGATGAGCTCCCCCCTGCCGGAGCCGACGTAGCGGCCGACGATGTCGCCGTCCCTGATGAAGAGGAAGGTGGGCACCTCGACGACGTCCATGTCGCGGAGGAACTCCATGCAGCTGTCGTTCTCGTCGCCGTTCATGCGGGCGAAGACGGTGGTGTCGGCCATGGTGCGCGACAGCTTCACGACGGTGGGGTACACCTTCACGCAGGGCCCGCATCGCTTGAGCCCCACGTCGAGCACCACCAGCTTGCCGCCCTCGCCGCGGTGGTCGGAGATGAGGGACTCGACGTCGGCGCGGGAGTGGAGCTGGACGACGGCGGAGTGGTGGTCGCCGTAGTAGAGGACGTCGCCGGCGAGCTGGTCGGGGCCGATCCCCTCCTCCTCGTGGACCTTCTCGGCGCCCTTGTAGAAGGTGAAGTGGGGCACGGCGGTGATCCCCTCCCGGCGGCACAGCTCCCGGGTGGCGTCCGACTCGTCGCCCATGACGAGGAGGAAGTCGACGTCGCCGCAGGTGCGGCTCAGCTCCACCATGCACGGGTAGATGCGGCTGCTGTTCACGCTGTGGCTCGCCGCGAACTCCACCACCACCAGCCGCTCCTTCGCCGCCCGCAGCGCGCCGTCGAGCTCCTCCGCGCTGTGCACCTGCACCACCCGCTCGTCCCCGCCGCCGCCGCCGCCGCCCTTCTTCTTCGTCGTCTCCGGCGCCTGCTCCGTGCCGGACACCGCCGCCCTCACCGCGCCGCCGCGCCGCCGCCTCCTCAAGAACCTCGCCGTCTTGCTCCTCCCGCTCCCGCCGCCGCTGGCCGGCGTGGCGCCGCCCAGGCTGGTCGAGCCGGCGAGCGTGGACAGGAAGGCGGCGGTGGATGCCATCGACGACACACAGCTGCTAGCTCCTAGCTTGACAAGCTAGCTAGCTACTGGCTACTGTGGCTACTGCCTAGTGATGAAGGAGAAGAGGAGAAGAGAGGATGAATTAAAGAAGAGAGAATTCAGCAAGAAATGGATGGCAAATAGTAGCTGGAATCCAATCAGAGTTCATCCACACAGCCACTAGTTCAGGATTGGGTTTGTGGCTGGGGGGTTTCAAGCAGCTGAGATTTTTCAAGTTGGGGGGGACTGATTATTTTGCCCATGCACTTTTGTTGGTTTCTCGCCTTGTCAATATTCCTGTCTTGTTTTTTTCCCTTCTAGAAATATATATTCATGGTTTGTTGGTAGCTAGCACAAGCCCTGATTTTTTCCCCCCACATTTAATTTATAGTCATGGTCAGAATTTGTTTTTTCAACTTTTGGAGAATTGGGGGCTGGTATTGAGTTCATGCATGCATGTAAACTTGGATATTTTTGATTTATTGTGATCAAGAACATCAATTGGGTCACCCCAGATTTTGTTGTGAAGGTTATTCCACCAGGTAGTGGATTTTTACCCCCTATCCCAGCCCTGTTGTAGCTCTGCTTCTTAAAAACAAGACAAATAGTGATAAAAATTCTGAAAAAAAATCAACAATATAGAGTACTATATTGCATCTACTACGACTCTCAACCAACTAAATGGGGGAAAAAGAAGGCAAAATATATATACCCATGAATAGTGCAATATTTACAATTTGAATTTGTCATTTATGTTTCTCATTGTGAGTCGAACTTAATTAGTCCTCAAATCTTCGGATAGTAGACATATATTTATTATACCAATGCTACCAGTTTTTTTTCATAACTAGTATTGGCATGTATTTTGATACAATGAATCAATGATGAGACACCCTTAAGGCGTGAAAAATTTCTCAATCCATTGTGATGTATTATCACAACTAGTTCCTTACTTAAAAGAGGGATTTTGAATTTTTTGATCTATAAATAGTTACAATTTAGGATGTACCACTCACGCATCTGTTATTGTGGGATCAGAACAACCACCATGTCATAGGCACGGAGGTTTTTTTTTGGGATCCTGAAATGCCACCTTTATGAGTATCAAATCCTAAATATCCCTACTTGTAAAATTATGAAATAACCGATCATCATGGATGTTAGATGGTCCCTGTAGTTTCAATAAATATATTATAGCAACATTCACAAAATGATTTAAATTTTGTTTTGTGATAATTGAGCACTTGTAGTTGCAATGGCATAATATGAGACGGTTCATCTCAAATTATCTCTAAGGATTCTGATAATTGACCTCCTATTATATCACATATATCTTTCACACGTCTCTATGATTTGTTTTATTTTAATAGGGATATATGAAAAAAATAGTTATCTATTGGCAGGCTACAAATAGATAGAGAATCACTTTAGTGTTTTGTTGCATTGGTGGCAAGCCTTATTTATGTATATCAATGGTTGTATGGAGCTCCTTCAGCGGGGAGGAGTGGCACCCCCCAAGGAAGATTTGGCTATGGAATGGGTGAGCGGAAACGAGGCAATCGAATCATGCAAATAAGAACATATGGTCTTTTTAGACAAGTTTAGGCTGCTCGGAAGCGTATCACCCTACTCTTGTGTTCTTGTTATGAATGAGGGTGATAAAGTTTACAATGTAGATTGGGTGGATGTTGTTCTAAGTAGGAGATGATGAACTCTTCTTCTCTTGAAGTGTGAGTTTATTCTAACTTGGCTTGAATCAGTCTAATTAACTCCGCCTAATCTGACATCGAAAAAAGCAAGCCCCCTTACAGGTGGTGTGGATCCTCCTTTTATAAACGGGGAGGGGGGGGGGTCCACGGTACCAATATGTACATATGAGAGTGGGCCCTACTCCTTAAGTTCGGCATGCTTGGTCTTGTCGATATCCCTTAGGCCTAGCGGAGGTGACTGTTTCACATGCCGATTAACGAGTGAAGTGAAGAAGTCAAAAGTTTTTCCAGGGTGACACGTGCTACAGGGGATAGGTGTGCTTCGTCCTATTGCGTGTTGTCCGGTCGCACACCAGGTTGGCATATACACCTTGCGCACTGAGTGTGAGGCTTGATAGAATACACACGTGAGGAAGTCTGAGCTTGCGAGAGTTAACAATGCGCTGTTGCTCTTCCGAGCACTTGGGGGCAAAGCACAGTTGTGCCCTGAGCACAACCCACAAGGGGTCGTCCCGAGGAGTGAAGTGCCTCGAGCACAACCCATGAGGATAGCACCCTGGGGGCAGACATGCCCTGAGTCGCTAGCGATGAGGATTTTGTTTTTCATTTCACCGACAATGGTAGTTCTAACCAAGATGTTATATTTTGATCATTAGTAGACTATCGAGGATAATATTATCTTGCTTTTTCATCAGCTACCAATGGATACTTTTTTTTATATCATCTTCATGTTAGTAAAATTGTGATTATGAACGTGTGTGCTTGGACAGTATCATGACGACTTTGATGGATGATCACACATTTACAAGGTTACACCCCACAGGACGTCCTTGTTGCAAGAAGATAGAGGCATGCAGCAGTTTGGACTTTGGCTTTGGTTTTTCTTCACTTTGTATATTTCCAGATTAGCTTACATGTATATATGCTCGTTATCAGCATTAGAAATTAAAAATACTAAATCAGTTGTATAATCACGATTCTAGAACAAAAGATACCATCAGCGAGTTATACTTTCTAACATTCATAAGTTCATAGAGATGGTTTTTGGCACCACATGCTTGTACATCGTAACACTTTCTATTTTCCTTTTTTATAAATATACAAGGCAGGAACGAGCACGCTCTCGCTTCGCCCTTCCTTATCAGAGGTGGCACGGGAGGCGATGAGCGCCGGCCACCCCCTCCCCCCATCTTCCTCCAACGCCTCGCCGCCGCCTGAGCGGCCGCCGGCAAAGCCACGCGGTTGCAAGGACGGCGGCGGCGGGGCTCCTCGTTTCTCGCCGTCAGACCTTGCCCGGGTGGCCTGGGGAACCACTCTGGGTGGTGGCGGCGGTGACCGCCAGATCCGCGTCGCTCCGGCCGGATCTGGCGGCTGGGATGGCGACGGCGACGGTAGGGGCGAGCTGTGCCGGGCGGCTGGATCGAAGGCAGCGGGGATGGCGACGGCGGCGGGGAAGGCAGTGGTGCGTCAGAGGCGGATCTGGCTAGGCGGGGCGAGCTGGCGGCGGTGGTGGCGGTGGAGCTCGCAGCGACGAGTCAGCGGCAGCGGGGCGAGCGACGACGACGCGAGGCTTGCGGAGACAACGGTGGCCGGCCGTTGGTACGAGCGGCTGGAGGCGCGGCTGGTGATGGACGACGGCGGCAGCGGCTGAGGCAGCGCCCGTGGTGGCAGCGGCGGTGGCTGATGGCGGCGATGGCTGAGGCTGGCGACGGCGTCTGTGAGAGGAAACACGGAGGGCGAGCTCGAGCCAGTGGCAGCGCTGTGGAGACCGTGGTTGTGGTGGGAGGAAGCATGGCAGACTCGGACGGCTAGCCAAGGGTGTGGCAGACGGCCACATCTGACCAGCGCGGCGCAAGAGGCGCGACTGGTGGTGGAGGAGGCGACTACGGTGCGAGGAGGAGCTGCCGGTGCGTGTGGCGCGGTCTTCGACGTGCGAAGGCTGGCCGGCGGGGTGCGCCGGTGTAGTGGTCCCACATGTCGGCAGAGGTTGAGTGGTGGTGAGCATCGGTGTGTCAGCCGTGGACTCGCCGGTGGTGAGCGGCGGGTGAAAACCCAGCTCGGCCTTAGCCGGACCGACAACGATGGTTCATTCCCCCTCCTGAGGGCGTTATCGTGTTGTCTCATCCCTTAAGAGTGGTTGCCGGGTGAAAGCCCAGTCTTGGGCTCTTTTGAGCCCCCGACGGACGGCGGCGGCAGTTTTCCATCGCTTCTCTCCTTGGAGACGTCGTTTAGACATCCCCTTGCTGAAACCACTCAAACGATTGGTGCAAGCACACTCTAGATAGAGTTAGGCTTTGTGTTGGTTGTGGGCGTTTTTTGGGCAATCTCGTCTATGTTCCTTTGTTGGTCTAGCGGCGGTCGGTCACGCTTTGCGGCGGCCGGTCCGGTACTAGCCTTCTCCTAGACCTGTGTGTTGGCGTTGTCGGTGTATGGGTTGTGGTATATTTTTTTTTCTTTTTCCTGGTTACGACCTTCCAGGGTCTTGTAATTTTTTTCCTGCTCTATCAGTAAAACTTCGCACCGTCTCATGCGAGTCGTTCAAAAAAAAAGTATACAAGGCATTGTTATAGTATAATGTACTAGTCATGATGAAGTTATATTATAGTTAATTGAAAGTTTAGAAAACCTATGAAATTTTTTAAGATTGTCGGAGATATGGGCCCGGGGGTATGCGAAGTGAGGGGAATCTACATTCCCATCCTGCCACGTGTCCCTACAGCCTGGTCCTACCCCCGCATTCCACGAGTCGCAGGAGCGGCCGGAGGGGGGAGGGGGGCCTCGGGGTGCCGCGTCATGCCCCTCGGGCCCTTGCACCGCTTTGCCCCAAGGCCCTCGCCCAGCCGCCATTTGGCGGGGGGAGCAAGTGAGGACGAGGCCCAGGCTGAACCTCCTTTTAAGCGCGCAGCGCCCCAACTGCTCCCTGTCGAATTTAATGCAGTGGGGCAGACGTGCGGCGTGCCCGACTGGCGCGTGATGGTCAAGAATGACCGGTCTGTGACCGGCCTGACGCCGGTCACGTCTGACTAGACAGACAACCGTGCTCCCACGTCGCATCTGCCTCCGGCGGAGTGGAGGTAGGTATGACCCGTCCCATCGGAGGGTCATTCGGAGGGCGGCCACCACAAGTCTTCACCCATTAATGAGGGAATGACAGGACTGTCCCCCATGTTAGGCGAGAGACGGCGCTGGGCCCCGCTCAAGGATAAGCTGTGGTTTAGCTTCCAGGCAAAGGCACAGGTCGAGTTCCGGTCAAGGTAGGGTGGGTCCCCATCCGAGAGAAGAGTAGGTAGAGGCGGTGCATGTGGTATCCCTTGAGGTATAAAAGGAGGACCTTGCTCATCGAGAAAGGGGATGACTCTCGGAAAACCTGAGCTCGAGGAGGAGGGAACTAAGTGTGTTCTCCGGAGTTTAGGAACCCTTGTAACTCTCAGTCTAAATCCCATACACAGGAGTAGGGTATTATGCTTCATAGCGGCCCGAACCTGTATAATTTGGTTGTGTGCGAGCTAGCTAGGAGCCTTGGGGACGGATACGTGATTTCTAGAGGCAAGCTTTTTCCCCTGGCCGAACTCACTAAAGGGGGGGTCTCACGATCTCCCGCTAGAGAGGATCACTCCTCGACAGCTGGCGCGCTAGGTAGGGGGAAGTCGCGCGCTTTAAAGAGAAGTCGTTTTCTTCTGCCCCAAGTTTCCCTCGGCCCTCGACGATGATGGTCGAGGTCCTGGAGGAGGAGGCGGTGGTGTACACCCCTACTCCGCCTGGGAGTGAGGATGCTAGCGAGAGCCGCGGCCCTCGTCACCGCCGCCGCAACTCTCCAACTCCTCCCCGCCGCGATCCCTCGCGGAGGGAGGACCCCACCCAGTCGGGTGGTTCGGCCCTCTCCCCGCCCCCGGGCGGAGGGAGGCCACGACGCGTCAGGGCACGGCGCCGCCTCACTTACGGTGACGGCGGCTCGCCTCGAGGCGCACTTCAGGCAGCGGGTGCCCTTCTGGGGCATCCCCCCGTGAACTCGGAGCCGGAGACCCCTGTCCAGCGCTGGTTGGACGACGTGGCCAACTTGGTCACCACTGCCCAACGGGAGCTGGCCGCGGGCAGCCGACCCGTCGTCACCGGTACGTCGCGTACCCCCATTACCCTCTCCTCGTCAGCGAGGAAGAGGGCCTGTCGATCGGCCACGGCCTCAAGGCGGTCCACGGCTCCAACATCGTCGGAGGCCTCGGGAAGCCGGAGGCGTCACGATGGCCTCTACGGGGAGCAGGACGCTCGAATCAACATCGAGCGACGCCGGGACGAGCGTCGAGCTGCTCGCATGGGGGAAGGCGCCTCCTCATCTGGAGTGCTGCGTTCCTCCTCACGAGGCGGCCCTCCTCCCACGCTCACCCCTAGAGGGACTAGTTGTAGGGCCTTCGTGGCGAGTCTCCGGAATGTTTGGTGGCCCCCGAAGTTTCGCCCCAACCTCACGGAGAAGTATGATGGCAGCATCAATCCCTCCGAGTTCCTCCAGATCTACACCACGATTATCGTGGCAGTAGGGGGCGACGACCGGGTCATGGCGAATTACTTCCCCATGGCCCTCAAGGGTCAGGCGCGGCTGGCTGATGACCTAGCCCCCCGACTCCATCAACTCCTGGGTTGTCCCCCGGATGGTCATTCGGAGGGCGGCCACCACAAGTCTTCACCCATTAATGAGGGAATGACAGGATTGTCCCCCGTGTCAGGCGAGGGACGGCGCTGGGCCCTGCTCAAGGACAAGCTGTGGTTTAGCTTCCAGGCGAAGGCACGGGTCGAGTTCCGGTCAAGGTAGGGTGGGTCCCCATCCGAGAGAAGAGTAAGTAGAGGCGGTGCATGTGGTATCCCCTTGAGGTATAAAAGGAGGACCTTGCCCACCGAGAAAGGGGACGACTCTCAGAAAACCTGAGCTCGAGGAGGAGGGAACTAAGAGTGTTCTCCGGAGTTTAGGAACCCTTGTAACTCTCAGTCTAAATCCCATACACAGGAATAGGGTATTACGCTTTATAGTGGCCCGAACCTGTATAATTTGGTTGTGTGCGAGCTAGCTAGGAGCCTTAGGGACGGATACGTGATTTCTAGAGGCGAGCTTTTTGCCCCGGCCGAACTCACGAAAGGGGGGTCTCACGATCTCCCGCTAGAGAGGATCACTCCTCGACAAAGATAGTTTATGGAAAAAGTATGAATTACCCCCTGAAGTATCGTGGTCGACCAAATCACCCCACTAAACTCGAAACCAGACATTGCTCACCCTGAACTTTCAATACCGGATAAATTACCCCCTCGACCGAATCCAGAGTGGTTTTGTCCCATGTGGCGTACACGTGGCAATCCAGTCAGCATTTTATTTTTTTAAAAAATTATGGGGCCCACCTATCATACCTCTCTTCTCCTCTTCCTCTTCCTCTCTCTCGGGCTCAAAGCGTGCACGGCGCAGGGACGGGCGGCGGCGCGCTGGGGCGGACGGGCAGTCGGCTTGCGGGGGCGATGGGTGGCGGCGTGCTAGGGCGGACGGGCGGTCGGAGCGCGGGGGCCGACGGTGGGCAACGGGCGATGGCGTGCTGAGGCGGACGGGCTGGCGACGCGCGGGGAGGGCGCAGCGGACAACAGGCGGTGCCAAGGAGGGCGTTGGAGGCGACGGGCTACGGCGACAAGTCCATCATCCCCTCGAGCTCCGCAGCTATGGCGACGAGGCGATGAGTCCTCGGCTCAGGCCGGCACCGTCGAGGTCATCCTTCCAGGCAGAGGTGGCAGTGCTGCTAAGACGACATGAGGTAGCCCTTGTCGTCATCGTCCTTTTGGATCTCAAAGTCTGGGAGGAAGGAGGAGAGAGGTGTGGAGCCTCTTCCCCGGTTCCGACAGGGAGTCGGCATGATCCACGGCCTCCCTCTCTCTCTCTTTCTCGGCTCAGGCAGGCGGCGGGCGATGAATCCTCCTCGGGGAGGGCGTGGCAAGCGGCACGCGTGGCGGGGAGGGCACGGTGCTCTACGACAATGAGTTCGCCGCCCATCCACATCGTCCCCATCGACTGTCGTCGCTGTCAATCGGAGCCACACACCCGCGCCAACGATTTCCCCTCCCTGGCCGTCGTGCCCGCCGCTGCTCGCCTTCGGCCGGAGTGACCTAGCCATGCGCACTGCCACTCGCCACCCAGCTCCGTCCTATGCCTCCGCGTCTCGCGCTGCCGCGTACCGCATACCCCCGCGCGCCACCGGCACGCCATGCGCGCGCGAGAGAGAAGACAGAGGAAGAGGGGAAGAGGATGTATGACATGTGGGTCTCACTATTATTTTAAAATAAAATGCTAACTGGATTGCCACGCGTATAAAACAGCTTAGATTCGGTCGAGAGGGGTAATTTGTCCGATATTAAAAATTTATGGTGAGCAATGTCTGATTTTCTATTTAGGGGATAGTTTAAGTCAACCCCGATAGTTCGGGGTAATTCCATACTTTTTTTTTCCTCTTTTTTAACGAGTTTACTCCTGTGACTCTCATGACGTTTGGCCGGCGGCCGTGCCGAGAAAAAACACGCCGGCCACGGTCAAATCTGGTGAAAAGCCCGACCCCTTTCCGTTCCTTCTCTTTGAATTCCAATTTCCAAATTCCAATTTCTACTTTTCCAACCCAACCTCAAACACAACCAATCCACCTCCGATTCCTTCATCCGCCGCCACCGCCGCCGTCGCCGCCGCCGGGATCCCGCCCGCAACCGCACCGCGGCGGCTCCTTCCCTTCCTCCAGGTACCAACCAGGTGCGTGCGCCCGCTGCCCATCTCTCCCTCGCTCTCCCGCCCCCCGCGGAGGCTGGCGCGGGGAGATCTCCGGCGTCCTAGGGCTTCGGCTGCAGCTCTGGCTGCTGCTTGGTGCTTAATTCGCGCGCTGCCGAATTTGATTGATTCCCTCCTCGATCGCCACTTCGTGCCTGAGTTTTTCGGCCCCCCCCCCCCCCCCCCCCCCCCCGCCTCGTGGCCGTCGGTGCCTTGGGCGTGAGCGACGAAGGGGAGACGATTTGGGTGGGGGAGCAGTTGGAGCACACGCTCTTCGTGGGTGGGTTTCGCTGTTGCTCCAGCGCAGCACATCTAGAGGAGGCGAGGAGAATTGGGGAAACTGGTAGAGGAGGAGGAGGAGGGGTCCTCACCTCCCTCTCTTTTAGCTAGCGTGATGGATTGTTAGGGTTAGCTGCTAAGGTCTCGGTACCGTCCCTCACTTTGAGGTTTGAGGCTGCTGCAACTGGTCGTTGGATAAATTGCCACCGCGAAAAAGGTTAGAGAAGCTACCGATTCTTTGGGTAGATTGCTTTTCAGATAGATTGTGGTATATCCTACTACTTCAGATTGCTTGCCGACGACGCCAAAACGGCAGCCTTTTTAGCTGACCTAATGTTGCAAATTTTAGTTAAGTTTTTTCAAGGTCTTGCTGCTGGCTGCTTCTACTGAACAATTGTTTTTTCATTCCTAGATTGTGGGATCTTCCTAGAGAGCGCTGTTGTCCTGCACGAGTAGAATAGCAGATGGCGAGGATAAAGCCGAAGCAATTGCTAATTCAAAGCAAGACGAAGAAGGCCCCAACACGGATCAGTTACTCCACTATCGTTACTTGGAACCTAATTGTTATCTTGGTTGCGCTATCCCTCTATGCTACCTACAGGCATTGGCATCACAGGTTAGTGCCCTTTCTTGCAATATTTGTTGATTTGCTGATTTAGTAGCTAGTCCCAAGCACAATTGATCTAGCTTTACTTGCTTTTTGACTTCCTTCACTGATGAGATACCTCACAGGCCAATGCTCGAGACTGAAATGGATCTCCCTCGTGCTGAGGTACGCTAAACAATCTAGTTCATGCCCTATATGCTCTTCTTGTCTTGCTTTGTCTCCAAGTACTTCCTCCTTTATGCCAATGACATGACATGTTTGGGTCTTGGAAAACACCGTGTCTCTGCCTTTTCTGAATCATTGATCCTAGCATTTTGTTTTCCATCTATTTTGAAAACCTTCTTGTTCTATATTTAATGTCCAAATCATATGTATAGTTAATGACCATTGGAACTTCTGTGTTAGTGTTGTAAAATGAGCCATGGTAAACCTTGTTTGCAGCAAATACATGTGTCTTCCTTTTCTTATATAGGTTCGATAATATGCTATGTTATAAATATGACATTTTCTATGGACTTGCAATGGCTTCTGTAGGTGATTTGTGTCCTTATATACATTTTTTTAGAATGACGATATCTGCTGATACGAGCCATACTCAATCTGACATCAAATTCATTGATTTTATTCTCTTATGTGTTCTCTTCCTGACTTCCAGCATGTTGGAAGATCTGAGGATTCCACGAAGACTAGTAGACCAAGCTATGCGGTAAGTTGTACTATTTTCCTTTCACAGGACAAGATTTCTGACCAACTTAGCAGCATATGATGTTAATAAAAATTATATGCCCGATTGTCTTTTAAGTGTGTTGTTAGTATATATCGGGTCAATTTACAATTGTACATGGTACGTTAATTATGTCTTGCTCTTCTGTTGGTCTGGTAGTGACTGCTATACCAGGTTTTGATCTAAATCTTGTGGTATGTTATGCTTTGGAAATGTTGCAATCAACTATTTTCCTGCTTAAAGTAGAATCGAAAATAAGTACACCATGCATGGATATAAACAAATTATCCTTAGGGTAGTCCTTTCCTTATGCACAAACCCTGAACTCCTGAAGGCCTTAACAAGATAAAGAAAACTATCCTTGCCATTGTTGGATTAATCATCAAGTTTTAAATAATCAAAACTCCATAAAAAGACGATGAACTAGTGTTCATCCGGAATTTAGTAGGTTAAGTAGTAATAGTTTTACAGGCTTGAAATGCTTCTGCCAAATGTAGTTAATACTTTCATATCTTAAACATTGTGGTTTTATGCTGCAGAACTAGACCTGATGCACATCCTTTTCTTGTTATGAACTTATGATGTTTGGATGCTAATTATTAGCAGTACAAGCATACAATTAGTAAGAGAAGTAGATTGTATGCTATTGCCTGTAAATATAGGAAATTAAATCTGATGCATATAACCTTTTTTTATGGGAATTTGTGCATATGACCTTACTGAGTAGACATAAAATATTTAATGCAACAATCTTAAGCATTCACTGAACATAATGCTATTGTAATTTTCTTCCTCCAGGTTATTGATACTGCCAAAGGCTCAATTACTATAGAAATTTACAAAGATGCTTCTGCTGATGTTGTGGATAGATTTGTTAGCTTGTGGTGAGCACTGGAATCTTTGCTTAATCTTGTTTTATACTTTTACATGATAATGCTACATGGATGTTGACTTGTCTATGATCATTTTTGGGGCATTATTTGTTTGTGTTGGACTCTCTGGCTATCCGCAGTGGTGCAATTCCACACAAACATGTCATATTCAGTCCCTCTGATTATTTCATGAAAGATACAATTAGAGTATAAGTATCTAGATATGTAATCCATATAATTTTAAGATGGATTGTTGATAAATATATAAGGCTTGCATGCAAATTTAAAGGTCCTTTTCCTATCATGCTCCTATTGATGGTAACTTGCATAGTCCACCCATACAAAGCATCCACTCTCTTCTTTTCCAAAACAGTTACTAAAATGCATTTTTAGTTCCAAACTCTCCTACTTTCTCAATTTCGTAAGCTCCTTAATTCTTACTCAGTCAAATAGACCCCTATTGATTTATGAAGGGAGCATGAGCTATTAAACTTTCTTCAAGATTTTACACAAGAAGTTTTCAGCAAAAGGGTGTGCACTTCTCCCTCTAGTGTACCTCTTTTTGTGGACAGATTCTTCTGTGTTCCCTATTCCTTTCCTTTGCAAAATTTCTTTCTTTTCTTGTGTTCTTGGCATCAGCTTTATTTCTTTGAATACTTTGATCATAATGGATCTTTCTATTTTATTGATAACACATCACACATTGCAGTAATGAGTTAGACAGCTAGTGATCGCAGCATCATGATACTATTAATATGGTTGATAGTCTAGGCACTTGTTTTGGATCCAAATAGATGAAGTTGGTTGCTTGTATCTTGCATAAATGAATGATACCTTAGAGTTTGCAGCAGAATATATAAACCTTTATGGTTGCATGCAAGGTTCTTGAATCCAGTTTCTTGTAAAGATATTGCTTGGTAGGCTATTCCTGTGTCATTAGTCATGCAAAGAATGTAATCAAAGCAACAAATGAAATCTTTTTAGAGGTTGATGAATTGAAATCTGAAGACAACTGTATTCTACAATACTTCCAAGGCAAAAAAACACTACATTTTATTTGTGAAGTGCTTTTATGCTCACCGAAAGCAAGATCACATGAACTTCAATGCGAGTAATTTGAAGCAGGCTCATCATGCTCACCGATTAGCAACTCTAAATGCTTAATGCTCACAATATTTGTTCTTTGAGGTCAAGAAGCCAACTATGATTTATTAAGTACAGTGTGATAAACTGGTTTTGGTTTTGAATATGCGATGTATGATAAACTGTAGTCTGAGATGAGATGATGCTTTACATGTAGCAGCGTGTTTGTAGCGCAAACATATTTGCTACTCCCTCCGTTTCGAAATGTTTGACACCGTTGACTTTTTAGCACATGTTTGACCGTTCGTCTTATTCAAAAACTTTTGTGAAATATATAAAATTATATGCCTACATAAAAATATATTTAACAATGAATCAAATGATAGAAAAAGAATTAATAATTACTTAAATTTTTTGAATAAGACGAACGGTCAAACATGTGCTAAAAAATCAATGGCGTCAAACATTTCGAAACGGAGGGAGTATTATGGTATTTGTTATTTGTACCATATTGCCCTTCAGGATGTCTCGTAGTCTAAGAGTAACTAGTACAATTTCTCTAGGCTTGCATTGCTGGAAGGAATCATGTTTCAAAGGAGAATAGCACACATGTTAAGAATTTATCAAGATAAATTATCCTTTTGTCCTCTTTGGATTATCATCTAACATTTGTTTCAATTGCCAGCAAGAGTAACCATTTTAAAGGAATGCCGTTTCGTCATGTCATCAAAAACTTTGTAATTCAAGGGGGTGATTTCGATTTCAATGGTGCTGCCCAGGAATGGATACTGAAAGCCAAAGCCAGTGGAGAAAACGCTCTAAGGTTTGTCCCCAAATCAATGCACATATAGAATTCTGTTGAAAAGTCTTGGTTTTGCCAGACTTATTTTTTTTCTTTACACTACGTGTATTTCTATGATTTTGCAGTCCAAAGCACGAGGCATTCATGATCGGGACTACGAAGAATCCTAATAATAAAGGATTTGATCTTTTTATCACAACTGCTCCAATTCCTGACTTGAATGACAAGCTTGTTGTATTTGGGCAAGTTATCAATGGACAAGATATTGTTCAGGTACTTTACATTGAATTCTCTCTGGATGCATTAATTCAGTTGCAGTTTCCATACATCATTGGAACCTTTCATTTTTCATTTATATTTAATATCATTTTTCTAAAAACAATATATTTCATGCTGAGATGTTCATGTCCTTACCTCATGATTAGTATTGTTACATATTTGTACATTATTTTGAGTTACAGTAGTGCTAATGCCAATAGGAAATTGAAAGAGTTAGACATGAGTTTAATAGGTGTGCTAATGGAGAGGATATGAGCTAATTCAATGTCATTATCTACAAATGTATCAGACGCATGTGCTTCAACTGGTTGAATTAGTATTTTCTGAGTATGTTCATTTTAATGAGACTTTTTGCTTGTTTGATGACTTAAACAGGAGATCGAAGAAGTTGATACTGATGAGCATTACCAGCCAAAAACCCCTATCGGCATACTCAACATCACGCTAAAACAGCAAGCTTTGAGCTGATAGCTTGTTGTCCTTACCTGAAAATGACTTATCTGTACTCCAAGAGGGTCCATACATCGCCTCCAATTGCTGCTGAAATTGATTATGATTATGGCTTCCTCTAGAAGCCCATGGGTTGCAAAGAAAGAAGGCGCTTAATCTTGCCTGGCAGCTAAAAGCTTCTTCCGTCTCATGGAGTAGTTGTGTATAAATTTATCCCTGGTGTCATTCGGCTGTCAGTTTTTGCAGGCATTACAGTGTATTTTGATGCTTGGTTGTTTCATTGTAAATTTGAAGCCCATTTGGATCATGAATCATAGAACTTGGAATTCATAGTTAGTTATGAGGAATAAGTTCATCTGAGGTCCCTTAACTTTACACCGAATCCGATTTTCGTCCCTCGATCAGAAAACCAGACACAACGGGTCCCTCAACTATTAAAACCGGTGCAGATTATGTTCCTCAGCGGTTTTGAGAGCAGTTTTGGCTGACGTGGCGCCTACGTGGCTAATTTGACTCGGTCTTTGTTTGACGTGGCATTGACATGGCGCTTACATGGCAATTCGACCCGGAAAAATAATAAAACCCGTGGGACCCACATGTCAGTCTCACATAGAAAATAATTAAAAATTTGTGGGACCCATGTGGGCCCCACATGTCAGTCAAACTCACCCTTCCTCTTCTTCCTCCTCTCTCCCCATCTCCCTCTCTTCATCTCTCTCCCCTCTCCTCTCTTCTTCCGGCGAGAGCGGCGAGCTGGAGGGGGCGGTGAGACCGGCGCCCACCGGCGAGAGCAGCGAGCTGGAGGAGGAAGCCGGGGCAATAAAAGGGAGGGAGGATGTAGGGAGGCCGGCGATGGCCGAGCGCCGTGGGCGGGGGCTTGATAGCGACAGACGGAGGGAGAGGTGTGCAGCCGACGGCGGCCAGTGGGAGAGGGAGCGGCGACCGCCCTCCGCCGCAACCCGCCTCCACCACCGAGCTTGTCAGCGACCGCCCACCGGAGTGAGGAGGACGACAGCTGGCGATGGGTGAAGAGGACGAAGGCGGCGGTCTGGAGCAGAGGTCGGAGGAGAGCCCCCAGCCGCCAGGATGGCACTCGATCCGTCGCATTTCACCACCACCGAGCTTGTCAGCGGCAGCCCACCGGAGCGAGGAGCTTCCCCTTCCCCTTCCCCCCATTGACGTCGCCGCCGCAACAGCTGAGGCGCCGCTCCCCATGCCGCCGCTTCTGTGGCGCACGCCGGATGCGGACGGGGACGCCATGGCCGTGGCTGCGGACGACATCAATGTCGACCTCGGCATCCTTGGCGACTCCCAGGCCCCCGCGCCGCCGCCACTAGCGGGGGGAGCAGCGCACGGCGGACGTCCTCCTCTTCCGGCTGCCACCGCCACACCTCCCCGCATGGTTGCATCTCCTCCTCCTCCGGCGGCCATCGCTGCACGCCGCCCCTTCTCCCCGCCGGTCACTGCCCTTCTCTCGGCCGCCACTGCCGGTTCTCGATTGCCGGCGCTGCTCCGGGGGACCTACCGCCGCCCGGGTCAATCTGTTCCGCCCACCGCCGTCGCCGATCCCCTTTTATCGCCCCGGCTTCCTTCTCCAGCTCGCTGCTCTCGCCGGTGGGCGCCGGTCTCGCCGCCCCCTCCAGCTCGCCGCTCTCGTCGGAAGAGGAGAGGAGAGGAGAGAGAGATGAAGAAAGGGAGATGGGGAGAGAGGAGGAATAAGAGGAAGGGTGAGTTTGACTGACATGTGGGGCCCACAATTTTTTTTTATTATTTTCTATATGAGACTGACATGTGGGTCCCACGGGTTTTATTATTTTTCCGGGTCGAATTGCCACATAAGCGCCACGTCAATGCCACGTCGGACGAAGACCGAGTCAAATTAGCCACGTAGACGTCACGTCAGCCAAAACCGCCCTCAAAACCGCCGAGGGACCTAATCTGCACCGGTTTTGATAGTTGAGGGACCCGTTGTGTCTGGTTTTCCGATCGGGGGACGAAAATCGGATTCGGTGTAAAGTTAAGGGACCTCAGATGTACTTATTCCAAAAAAAAAGTGAGAAAATGGACATTTGGCCATGTTTAAAACGCGCGGTTTGCTGGAATGCCATCCCAAAAACATGTTTCTTTAAAATGCCACTATGAAACACGTGCTCACCGTCGCTTTGACATTTTGACCATTTTGGGCATTTTGAAAATCATTTTTGCTGGAATGTAGGGTGATGAGACGGAATTGCCCTCACCGGCGTCTTGAGCAGGCGGGTTCTTGCCTCGTGCCGGTTGCGGTGGCGCAGCTCCCACCGGGAGCCCAGCTCGCCGTCGTGGTGGCGTCCGTCGGCGGCCGCCGCTCCGCAGTCCTCTGCTGCGAGGGCGCGGCTGCTCCGGAGCCGTACCACCGCGGCGGATGGAGTGCGGCGGCCATGGAGGTCGCGCTCGGCGGGCTCGTCGTCGCTCGCCCGGCGATGAAGCGCTTAAGGTTCGATTCTCGAAACATCTGCTTCAACTCTTTTTTTCTGCTGTTCCTTTCTGATTCTGCATCATCACGGCTTATTGCAAACTTCTTTGTCCATCGATCGCAGAACGAAATAGGCTCTCTTCTTTTGAGCCTGCAGATTGCTCTTCTTCTGTATCTTGGTTCTTGTCCCATGGCGCAGAACAAAAGGCTCTTCTTTTCGTCTTCTCTTCATCCTGCATATAGGTTCTTGCTGGAGACCTTCCTCTTGTGCACATCATTGTTCTTGGCTTTGCTGTAGACGGAGCCCCAGGCCCTCAGCAGCTGCAGTTGCGCGCGCACCGCGCCTCGCAGTCCGCCGACGGCGAGTGCTGAAACGGCAGGAGCTCCTTGTTAGCCAGCTCCACGAGCTGCCTCCGCACCTCCCAGTACAGCCCGCCGACCTCGCCGCTCGTGCAGCCGCCGCCGCCGACGGCGCATACCGAGCCGTCCGTCGTGTTGGCCAGGCACTCGCACCAGGCGCCACTCTGGATTTGGAGGTTGGAGGTGTTGAGGAGCACAAGAGTGGGAATGAGGATGCGAGGTGGAGCACGGCGAGGTCGAGCATGGTGGAGTTGACGCGGAGGAAGCCGAGGGCGAAGGCGCTGGCGAGGGCAATTCCATCTTATGACCCGACATTCCAGCGAAAATGATTTCAAAAATACATAAAGTGGTCAAAATGGCAAAGTGGCGGTGAGCACGTGTTCCATATTGTCATTTTAGCGAAACGTGTTTTCGGGATGGCATTCGAGCGAAACCGCTTTTGAACGTGGCCAAATGTTCATTTTCTCGGAAAAAGTACACCAGAGGTCCCTCAACTTGTCATTGAGTTACAAAAACGTCCTCAAACCACAAACCACATATGACCCCGGATTTGTCCGACGTGGCGGCTGAGTCAGCGTAGGACCCACGTGGACCCCACATGTCAGGTGTCCACGTCAGCACCTACTCCTCTCCCCTCTTCTCTTTCTCCATTTCTCTCTTTCCTTCCTCCCTCTCGCTCTTTGCTCTCGCAGGGCATGGGGATGCCGGTGACGAAGGATGGTGCGGCTGGCGACGGCGGCTCCCCGGGAGGCGCCGTGCTGCTCACCGGTAACGTCATCGTCTGGGCCGCCACGTCGTTCCTCTCCCTCTACGCCGGCTAAGTCCTCCTCGTATGGACCTCGCACTGCTGCACCACCGCATCCGACAAAGTGGATGACACCAAGCAATCAACCTCCGACCTCACCGCACCGCTCCTCCTCGATGACGACGCGTCTCACCGCCTCCACTCCCCATCTCCTCCAAGCCCACCTCCGTGCTAAGAATGTTCGCGTGCCGCCTCGTCGATCTCCTCCACTCGCCACTCTACCTCCCGCGCCGCCTCACCATCCTGGACATCGCGTCGCACCGGTGGTCGAAGCCCAACGCGGTGGCCTCGGCGCTCCTCTCCCCGCTCCTCCTCGCCGCCGCCACCGCACCCACCACAACCGCCCTCCTCTCCGCCTTGCTCGCCGGCATCCTCCTCGCCGCTGCCGTTGCGGTCGCCACGGACGCTGCCTCTGTTGAGTTGTGATCCAAATTTATTTGCACTTAATAAAGGCCAGCTTCTGCTGTAGCGAAGCGGAGGCCCATTGCCAGAGGCTTGGGCCGGAGCCCCCGCGGTACGGATCGTTATCCCTTTTAGGGTTCCACCATATATATACCTCTTGTAAGCCGCCATGCGGCGTTGAAACCTCACCCCGATATAGTAAAGATATTTTGCTGGCTGGCGCCTGTGTTTTTCTCTCTCATGCTTTGGGAGGGTTTTTCCACATTAAATCTCGTGTCTTTTGTGATTGATCTATTGTTCTTTATTGTTTATTTGCCCATCGTTTCCTAACAAGTGGTATCAGAGCTTGTTATCAGATTAGGGTTTCGCGATGGCATCGATAAAGTATGATCTACTGCTGCTAGACTATAAGACGAGATTCTCGCTGTGGCAAGTTAAGATGCGGGCTGTTCTAGCGTAATCTTCGGATCATGATGAAGCGTTGGAAAGCTTCGGGAAGAGGAAGAAGGATGAATGGACCACTGAGGAGAAGCGGAAAGATTGTAAGGCTCTGTCGCTGATCCAACTTCATCTGTCTAATGATATTTTGCAAGAAGTGTTGCAGGAAAAAACTGTTGGAGAACTTTGACTTAAACTAGAATCGATCTGCATGTCTAAGGATCTAACCAGTAAGATGCATATGAAGATGAAATTGTTCACGCACAAGTTGCAGGAGAGTGGTTCTGTGTTGAACCACATATCGGTCTTCAAGGAAATCGTTGCCGACCTAGTGTCGATGGAGGTACAGTTTGATGATGAAGATTTAGGTCTTCTACTGTTATGCTCACTGCCTAGTTCTTATGCAAATTTTTGTGACACCATACTATTAAGCTGTGATGAACTAACCCTTGTAAAAGTTTATGAGGCACTCCAAAACAGGGAGAAGATGAAAAGGTTTGGATCAGTCTGATGCGTCGTCCTCCAAGGGTGAAGCATTGCAAGTCAGAGGCAGATCTGAGCAGAGAACCTACAACGACAACAATAATCGTGACAAGGAGCTGGCCGTTGGATGCGATGAAGGAAAGATCATGGGTAATTGCCCTCGGTGCAGAGCAGCAGTGCTCCCCCGGCCCTTCTCATCCCTCCCTATGCACAAGGGCGACGACACTCCCCTGTCCTCCCTAGACGGCAATGGCAGCAGCCTCCATAGACGGCGAGGGTGGCAGTGCTCCCCTATCCTCCGGCATATGTAGGCAGTGGTTTGCAAAGATGCTGGTGTGTGCTCTGCTTTCTTGTTTTGTTTATGATTGTATGTTTTTTTATGAAATTCTCATCTTCTGTTGTGGTGAAAAGCCTTTATGGCTTGATTTTGTTTGC